TCTCAAAGTGCTGGGATTACAGGTGTGAGCCACCATGCTTGACATCACTGCTTTTAGGAAAGCCTCGAGACTGGTCACATTGCCGAGAGGAGCGTTTCCTAGTCTGCTTAGGAGGAAAATTATTTGGGAGCTGGCTGGGGAAAGGGGAGGCTGGGGGGTCTCAGCAGTCACTTAATCTTTCTCTTTTTGGTGCATACCAGTTCCCTCCACTGAGCTGACCAGGCCTTATTCTAGAGATCCTTTTGTTTTACTGTCTTCAAACAACTCGCCTTCTCTGAGTATGGGGAGGGAATCTGGGATTTAACTCATTGGAAACCAGATTTCACCCAGTCGTCCTCATTTTAATGTTCTGTAACTCCAGTTCTCAAGGGGCCCAGCACCACAGTGCCTGCTCTGTTCCGAGCTTTCCTCGTGCCTGGCTTAAGTGTCAGCCTTCTCTTGGTCTGCCAGTGAGGTGTTTTTCGGCCATCTGCTTTCCAGCCTCCAAGATGTGATTGCTATAGTCTCTTGTTCTTTATCTTCTAGTGTTTTTGTTGTTTAGAGGGATTTTGTTTGTTGTTTGGTTTTTAGATTCTTTAGTTTTAGTGAGGTTTCAGGAAAGAGTAAAATAAGATGAATTTGTTCAGTTCATCCTTAGCCTTGAAAAGTTCTGGGAAATTTTCTTGATTATTTGATTTCTTCTCTATTTTGCACTTGGTCTCTTGGATGGAAATTTAATTTTCTTTTCTTTCCAATGTATCCTTAAAAAATTTTTTTTTCTGGATGGTTTCTTCAACTTTGTCTTCTAACATTTATTTGTTTATTTTTTGGGAGGTCTTTTTTTTCCCTTTTTTAATGTGTGTGTGATTTTTTAATTTCTACCAAATTTTCTTGTTTTCTACACTTGATCTTAGCCAAAAGGCCGAGAAGCGATTTTTTTCTTTTTTTCTTTTTTGAGATGGAGTATTACTCTGTGACCCAGGCTGGAATTCAGTGGCGCCACCTTGGTCCACTGCAACCTCCACCTCCTGGGTTCAAGTGATTCTCCTGTTTCAGCCTCCTGAGTAGCTGGGACTACAGACATGCGCCACCATACCCGGCTAATTTTTGTATTTTTAGTAGAGATGAGGTTTCACCATGTTGGCCAGGCTAGTCTTGAACTCCTGACCTTAGGTGATCCACCTCCTTGGGCCCCCCAAAGTGCTTGGATTATAGGTTTTTCTTTTTTTCATAAAAGAATTCAGAAGGACCAGCCTAAGAATTTTAGTTTGTAAAAGGTTTTGTCACTCAGTTTGGAGTGTAGTGGCATGATAATAGCTCATTGTATCTTCATTTTTCTGTGGTTCTCTTGGTTTAACTTTTCCAAGCATCAACTTTTGTCTTTTGCTGGGTGGGGAAAGGGTAGGCCATCTCTACAGGGTGGGAGCAGGGGCCTGGAGATCTTGACAGACTTCAACTCCTATTTTCATCTCCAGCGCTACCCTCATTCTGAGGTCTGGCATCTCCAATTCCTGAGTCTTTCGGGGGTCCTGTAGTCTGGTTCTAGGTTTTTCTCACTGAAGGCTTAGGTTTTGGCCATCTGATCTGCCTGGGCGATAATCATTAACCCATCTGTTTTCTAGCATTCAATGTCCCCTGCCCTGTTATTCCTGAATAACATCCAATTTTTACATAATTTTCTTTGCTGTTCATTTTGTGTGCTTTCTCCTTGTAGGTTTATTCCTTTTCAAATGTATTTCCTGTAACTTTAGAAGGGTTTTTGGGAGGGAAGGACAAAAACTCTGTGCTATGTACACAATTGAAAATTCCCATATAAAGTAGGTTTGTGAGTTATTTTCCTACCAAATATGTAGTGGGCGTGTTTTCTGTCTAATGTAGATCATCTTATTTGGCTGCCTCGAATTCCTTTGTATAGATGAATTTTCTAAAGTTATACGCAAACTTCCCCTTCATGAGACTGGTGACATTTAGATTTTTTCTTAATCTGTTTGGAGGCAGCACAGTATGATAGGTGAGCACGTGAGTGTTGGGATCAGACCATTTGGGTTTAAATCCTGGCCCTGCCACTCGAATTAGGATCTTGAGAAAGTCAGCCTCTTTGAGCCCCATTTTTTTCCTGTGTGTAAAATGAGTTAGTTCTTCAAATGTTATCACTTGTAAAAAGCTAATAAAGGGCCAGCAAACTTTTTCTGTAAAGGGCCAGATGCATTTTGGGTTTACAGCTCCTGTTGCAGCTATTCAACTCTGCATGAAAACGGCCATAGACGACATATAAGTGAGTGGGTCTGACTTATTCCAATAAAACTATTTACACCAATAGGCAGTGTATTGGATGCTTGTGGGCTTACAGCATGCAGAACCCTGAATTAATACATGATTACTCTTTGCTTAATGCCCAGTAGTAGGCCCTCAGTAATTTAATTTTAAATTTTACCATACAGGCTTAAACCTAAGGCAATCCTTTTTTTTTTTTTTGAGATGGAGTCTTGCTCTATCACCCAGGCTGGAGTGTAGTGGCTCACTCCAACTTCTGCCTCCCAGGTTCAAGTGATTCTCATATCTCAGCCTCCTGAGCAGCTGGGGTTACAGGCATGCACAACCACATTTGGCTAGTTTTTTGTATTTTTTGTAGAGATGGGGTTTTGCCATGTTGCCCAGACTGGTCCCAGAACTCTTCAGCTCAAGTGATGTGCCTGCTTTGACCTCCCAAAGTACTGGGATTACAGATGTGAGCCACTGCGCCCCGCCAAGACAGTCTTGAATATAGGCAATCTCCTATTTTTCCTGACAAAAAAAATCTAAAAACATTTTCTCAGCCAACCTGACTCTAAAAAGCTTTCAAGGATTAAATGACATAATTATTATGTCTGTTTATGGTATAGGTTTCTAGTTACATGTGCGTTTTTGAAACTGCTTTGTTCCTTACTTTGCCATTTTCCTGTCCAGTCAGTGATTAAATTTCCCTGTTTCATGATTGTTTTGGTTCATTTGAAACAGGGTCCAAATGAGAACTGTATGTGGCAATTTTTAAATGTGTCAAATCTCTTTGTCACTGTAGATTCTTCCTTCTCCCCCTCCAAGATGTTATAATTTATTTGTTGTAGAAAATGGGATCGTCTGTCTGGTTTTCGCTGATGAGAGTATAGCACTTTTTGAATCTATATATTGTTCTTGGAAGTTTTATTACAAGTTACAAATAGTCATATCACATTGAGGCAGTCTGTTTCCATTTTTCCTTGAGGTGTGTTTTTGGGATTGCCATAATGTGACCACCTCCAAATATTTTTTTAGATTACTTTTTGAGTAAGTATAGCCCCATGGTTCAAAAATAAAAGGTAATTAGTGAAAAGTCCTTTTAAATTCAGTCCTATTTTGTCCTTTTCTTCCACCTAGATAACCACTGTTAGAAATGTAAATATTTTTTGGCTGGGCATGGTGCTCATTCCTGTAATCCCAGCACTTTGGGAGGCTGAGGCAGGCGGATCACTTGAGGTCCTGAGTTCAAGACCAGCCTGGCCAACATGGTAAAACCGTGTCTCTACTAAAAATATAAAAGTTAGCTGATCATGGTGGCATGTGCCTATAGTCCCAGCTACTCCATAGGTTGAAGCAGGAGAATCACTTGAACCTGGAGGCAGATCTTGTAGTGAGCTGAGATTGTGCCACCACACTCTAGCCTGGGTGACAGAGGGAGACTTCGTCTCAAGAAAAGAAGAAAGGAAATTTGAGTATTTTTCCAGTATTACCTTTAACCATATTGTTTTTTAAAAGTTATCTAAAAATCCAAAAGTAATCTTTAAGAGGTTTGTTAAAAATGACATTCAGTGCTTAGAACTGTGAAGGAATAACCCCGGGAATAATTTATTCATATTCAATCTGTTACATTTCATCACCTCCCTCTCCCATTTTTTAAGAAAATGGGTTTAGAAGGCCGGGCGTGGTGGCTCATGCCTGTAATCCCAGTACTTTGGGAGGTGGGTGGATCACCTGAGTTTGGGAGTTCGAGACCAGCCTGACCAACATGGAGAAACCCCATCTCTACTAAATACACAAAGTTAGCCCGGTGTGGTGGCAGGTGCCTGTAATCCCAGCTACTTGGGAGACTGAGGCAGGAGAATTGCTTGAACCTGGGAGGCGGAGGTTGCAGTGAGCCGAGATCTCGCCATTGCACTCCATCCTGGGTGACAAGAGCGAAACTCCGTCTCAAAAAAAAAAAAAAATAAATAAAAAAGAAATGAGTTTAGGGAACCTCTATAAGCATCAAAAATTAGCTTTGTTGAGCTCTGTTTGGGGTTGTCTTCCTCAAACCAAAGAGTACACCTTGTAATACAACAGGCTTTGTAACGATTTGCATATAAAGTGATACCTTTTCTGAGGAATCATTTTTTTGGGGAAAACCTTAGCTTGTATTTGAGCTTTTGGGGATTTTAATCAGATTAACTTTTGTGTTGTTGAAAACAGTGGTAAACACATCTTGAAGAGCTAGATTGCAAAGATGCTAATGTGTTACTGTATATGATAAACACTAACTTTCAGATGCACTTATATAAAAGTAGACTTGTAATTACAGTATGTCTCAGGATGTACTCAGAAAATTCAGCAGGGGGGAAAAAAACCTTGTCAAGCTTAGGCAAGACTGCGATTTTTAATTGTCTGGGTTGATGGAAATTTTCTGTTATAAGCAAGATAGTTTTTGAGGGATTGTTCTCCCTTATTGATACATTTTTAAAGGTTTTAGGGGAAATGGTAAACATTCAAATTAAGCAGAATAGTATATTGAATTCACCAGGTGCCCATCACCCAGCTTCAGAAGTTCAGATTAAATTTAAAATGTGCTACATTTAAATTAGCTTGCATTTTAGGAAAGATTCTTGTTTGAATATTTCTGCTGTTTGAGGAGTAGCTGCAAGAAGTCTAAGGCAGGAAAGTGTAAAATGGGAAATGGGTAATTCATTTAAATTTTGTTATTAATACTTGTTTCCTGTTACAGATAAGGGCATGAAATTAATACAGGCAACATAAACAGTTTTGTTCCATTTTAATCAGATAATTTATCTAGGATGCTCTTTCATTGTGAATTTTTTTATTATGTGCATTACATGTACTCATAAAAACATTAGGAGAACTTTGTAAGGCTTCTTGCTGAAGCCTTCTGGCATTGGCAGGTATAGAATTGATACTGATCTGCTTACTGTATTTCTCAAACCTGGTCTGCATCACAGTTACAGGGAAAATTAAATACAGATTCCTTGGCCCCACCCTAGATCTATTGAATCACAATATCTCAGGGTGGAATGGGCCTTAAAAATCTGTTTTTAAAATGCTCCCAAGTTGATGGAGATGTGAATCTAAGTTCAGGCACCATTTATTCTACAAATTAATTCAGCAAATATTCATGAGCACTTATTATCTGCCAGGCACTGTTATAGGTGTTTGGGAGGCATCAGTGAAGAAAAATAAAAATTCCTGACCTTGCGGAGCTTACTTTTTTTAGCAGGACTAAATCTATTTAATGGAAGGAATGGTTGTTTCAGTTACTATTGCTAGTTAGTAGCTTAAAATAACTTTTAGTTTGCTCTCAGTTTTGTGGGTCAGGATTTCAGAAAGGTCTACACTGGGCAGGTCTTGCTTGAGGAGTCTCATGTGGTTCCTTTCAGATATTGGCCAGGGCTGTCATCAACCAAGAGCGTGGCTGGGCTGGACATCGGAGATGCTCACTTACATGGTGGACAGATGCTGGCTGTCAGCCGGGAGGTCAGCCAGGTTGTAAACTGGCACACCTAAAGGTGGCTGCTCTGTCATTTGGGTGGTCGGATTTCTTAAATGGTGCTTGGCTTGCTCCAGAGTAAGCCTGCAGAGTGAACCAGATGGAAGTTACAAAGGCCCTTCTGACCTGGCTTTGGAAGTTACAGTTTCACTTCTGTTGCATTCTGTTGGCCATAAGTAAGTCTCTAGGTAGGTCCATATTAAGTGGAGGGGTCACAGACCCTACTCTCTCTCTCTTTTTATTTATATATATTATATAAATTATATATGTTATATAATATATATAAATAATATATCTAATATATATAAAATATATAATTTTTATTTATAATATAAAATAGATAATATATATTATATATATATATATATTTTTTTTTTTTTTTTGAGATGAGTTTCGCTCTTGTTACCCAGGCCGGAGTGCAATGGCGTGATCTCGGCTCACTGCAACCTTCACCTCCTGGGTTCAGGCAATTCTCCTGCCTCAGCTTCCTGAGTAGCTGGGATTACAGGCACACGCCACCATGCCCAGCTATTTTTTTTTTTTTGTATTTTTAGTAGAGACGGGGTTTCATCATGTTGACCAGGATGGTCTCGATTTCTTGACCTCGTGATCCACCCGCCTCAGCCTCCCAAAGTGCTGGGATTACTGGCGTGAGCCACCGCGCCCGGCCCATATTTTTAAAATTATACTTTTAAGTTCTGGGGTACGTGTGCAGATCATGCAGGATTGTTACATAGGCATACACATGCATGCCCTGGTGGTTTGCTGCATCCGTCTGCCCCGCCCCCAGCCCCGTCACCTACATTAGGTATTTCTCCTAATGTTACCCCTCCCACTCCCCACCCCCTGCTATCTCTCCCCTGGCCCCCCACCCCTGAACAGGCCCCAGTGTATGATGTTCCCCTCCCTGTGTCCATGTGTTCTCATTGTTCAGCACCCACTTACGTGTGAGAACATTTGGTGTTTGGTTTTCTTTTCTTGTGTCGGTTTGCTGGGAATGATGGTTTCCAGCTTCAACTATGTCCCTGCAAAGGACATGAACTCTTCCTTTTTATGGCTGAGTCGTATTCCATGGTGTATATGTGCCACATTTTCTTTATCCAGTCTGTCATTGATAGGCATTTGGGTTGGTTCCAAGTCTTTGCTATTATAAACAATGCCGCAGTGAACATATGTGTGTGTGCATGTGTCTTTATAACAGAATGATTTATAATCCTTTGGGTATATACCCAGTAATGAGATTGCTGGGTCAAATGGTATTTTTATTTCTAGATCCTTGAGGAATTGCCACACTGTCTTCCACAATTGAACTAATTTATACTCCCACCAATAGTTGAACTAATTTATACTCCCACCAACAGTGTAAAAGTGTTCCTATTTCTCCACATCCTCTCCAGCATCTGTTGTCTCCAGATTTTTTAATGGTTGCCATTCTAACTGGTGTGAAATGGTATCTCAATGTGGTTTTGATTTGCATTTCTCTAATGACCAGTGATGATGAGCATTCTTTTTATATGTTTGTTGTCTGCATAAATGTCTTCTTTTGAAAAGTGTCTGTTCATATCCTTCACCCACTATTTGATGTTTTTTTTTTTTTTCTCGTAAATTTGTTTTAGTTCTATGTAGATTCTGTATATTAGCCCTTTGTCAGATGGGTAGCTTGTAAAAATTTTTTCCCATTCTTTTGGTTGCCGGTTCTTGCTAATTATTGTTCCTTTTGCTGTACAGAAGCTCTTAAGTTTAATTAGATCCCATTTGTCTATTTTGGCTTTTGTTGCCATTGCTTTTGGTGTTTTAATCATGAAGTCCTTGCCTATGCCTGTGTCCTGAATGGTATTGTCTAGGTTTTCTTCTAGGGTTTTTATGGTATTAGGTCTTATGTTTAAATCTTTAATCCATCTGGAGTTAATTTTGGTATAAGGTGTAAGGAAGGGGTCCAGTTTCAGCTTTCTGTATATGGCTGGCCAGTTTTCCCAACTCCATTTATTAAACAGGGAATCCTTTCCCCATTGCTTGTTTTTGTCAGGTTTATCAAAGATCAGATGGTTGTAGATGTGTGGTGTTAATTCTGAGGCCTCTGTTCTGTTCCATAGGTCTATATTTCTGTTTTGGTACCAGTACCATGCTGTTTTGATTACTGTAGCCTTGTATAGTTTGAAGTCAGGTAGTGTGATGCCTCCTGCTGTGTTCTTTTTGCTTAGGAATGTCTTGGCTATGCCGACTCTTTTGGTTCCATATGAAATTTAAGGTGGTTTTTTCCAGTTCTGTGAAGAAGGTCAATGGCAGCTTGATGACAATAGCATTGACTCTATAAATTACTTTGGGCAGTATGGCCATTTTCACGATATTGATTCTTCCTAACCATGGGCATGGAATGTTTCTCCATCTCTTTGTGTCCTCTCTTATTTCCTTGAGCAGTGATTTGTAGTTCTCCTTGAAGAGGTCCTTCACATTCCTTGTTAGTTGTATTCCTAGGTATTTTATTATCTTTGTAGCAATTACGAATGGGAGTTCACTCATAATTTGGCTTTCTGTTATTGGTGTATAGGAATGCTTGTGGTTTCTGCACATTGATTCTGTATCCTGAGACTTTGCCGAATTTGCTTATCATGTTAAGGAGATTCTGGGCTGAGATGATGGGGTCTTCTAAATATACAATTATGTCATCTGTAAATAGAGACAATTGGGCTTCCTCTTTTCCTAATCGAATCCCCTTTATTTCTTTTTCTTGCCTAATTGCTGTGGCTAGAACTTCCAATACTATGTTGAATAGGAGTGGTGAGGGAGGGCACCCTTGTCTAGTGCCAGTTTTCAAAGGGAATGCTTCCAGTTTTTGCCCATTCAGTATGATATTGGCTGTGAGTTTGTTATAAATAGATTTTATTATTTTGAGATACGTTCTATTGATACCTAGTTTACTGAGTGTTTTACCATAAAGATTATTGAATGTTGTCAAAGGCCTTCTCTGCATCTATTGAGATAATTATGTGGTTTTTGTCTTTGGTTCTGTTTATGTGATGGATTACATTTACAGATTTGTGGATGTCAAACCAGCCTTGCATCCCCAGGATGAAGCCTACTTGATTGTGATGGATAAGCTTTTTGATGTGCTGTTGGATTCGGTTTGCCAGAATTTTATTGAAGATTTTTGCAACAATGTTCATCATGAATATTGGCCTGAAATTTTCTTTTTTAGTTGTGTCTCTGCCAGGTTTTGGTATCAGGGTGATGTTGGTCTCATAAAATGAGTTAGGGAGGATTCCTTCTTTTTGTATTGTTTGGAATAGTTTCAGAAGGAATGGAACCAGCTCCTCTTTGTATGTCTGGTGGAATTCGGCTGTGAACCTGTCCTGGATTTTTTTGGTTGGTAGGCTATTAATTGCTGCCTCAACTTCAGACTTTGTTATTGGTCTATTCAGGGATTCAACTTCTTCCTGGTTTAGTCTTGGGAGGGTGTAAGTATCCAGGAATTCATACATTTCTTCTAGATTTACTGGTTTATGTGCATAAAGGTGTTTGTAGTAATCTCTGATGGTAGTTTGTATTTCTGTGGAATTGGTGGTGATATCTCCTTTATCATTTTTTATTGCATCTATTCGATTCTTCTCTCTGTTTATTAGTCTGGCTAGTGGTCTATTTTGTTGATCTTTTCAAAAAAACCAGCTCCTGGATGCATTGAATTTTTTTTTTTTTGAAGGGTTTTCTGTGTGTCTATCTCTTTCAGTTCTGCTCTAATCTTATTATTTCTTGTTATCTGCTAGCTTTTGAATTTGTTTGATCTTGCCCCTCTAGTTCTTTTAATTGTGATGATAGGGTGTAGATTTTAGATCTTCCCTCACTTCTCATGTGGGCATTTAGTGCTTTAAATTTCCCTCTAGACACTGCTTTAAATGGGTCCCAAAGATTCTGGTGTGTTGTATTCGTTCTCTTTGGTTTTGAAGAACATCTTTATTTCTGCCTTCATTTCATTATTTATCCAGTAGTCATTCAGGAGCAGGTTGTTGAGTTTCCATGTAGTTGTGCGAATTTGGGTGAGTTTCTTAATCCCGAGTTCTAATTTGATTGCACTGTGGTCTGAGAGACTGGTTGTTAGAATTTCCATTCTTTTGCATTTGCTGAGGAGAGATTTACTCCCAATTATGTGGTCAGTTTTAGAGTAAGTGCGATGTGGTTCTGAGAAGAATGTATATCCTGTGGATTTAGGATAGAGAGTTCTTTTTTTTTTTTTAACTGATAAAATTTTTATTTCACTTTTGAATTTTTACACTTTTCCTGATTATTCTGTGTAAGGTGAAACTAGAACTGTTTAAAAGACATACACAAATCTAGTACATCAATAACTGGGATTTTTCTTTTTTTGCTATACTATTTTCACAACCATGGGTGTGCTTGCTAGGCAATATAACCATCACAGAAGCAAACATTTAGGCAGAATACTGGTAAGGAAAAACACAGCAAGAAGAGAGCTACCAGATATACAAACAGGCTTGGTTCCACATTCACCACTGCGTTTTCAAGCGCCAAGTATTAACTGCACATTTTTGTTCAGCTAGGAGGGATTCTTTTTTTTTTTGGTTTGTTTTAAATCCGTGCATGAGTGTTTGTTTTCTCATTTCAGCAGATGGACAAACGGATGGACTCTACAGCTAGGTGGAATATTAAAAGGTAGAGGGGTGATACTGTGAGACTGACAGGCCTGACTATTCCCAATTTTCTCCACTGCAGTGTCTAAACAACTTCCCTGAATATAGGGTCTCCTTAAAACTCATCTGAGAATTGAGCTGGATGAGTGCACTTGGGAAACCTGGTGACAGGCACTAAAAAGCATGATCAGTGCCAGCCTCAATATAGGGAGAAATCATGGATATTTAAAAATACTTTTTTGATTCAGATCCTGGTATGACCGAAGAGCAACACTGTGTTGAGAACTGGAGGAAGACAGCTCTGGTGCCAGAAGCTCTTAATCTTTAAAGCCAGACTTGCTCACCAAGGTGCTCAGTAATGTCTCTTACCCCTGCCCATATATAGCATTAAAAAGTGAACAAAAGATAGATAAAGATAGAATTCAAAAAGGAAACAAAAGTAAGGAAGGAGAGGGACAGAAACTTAGGAGAGAAGAGAAAACCAAAGTCAATAGTCAAAAAAGATGGTGGGAAAGAATGTTTAGATTTCAAAATTTAAAAGCCCTGAGCTACGAAGAACCTGAAAACTGAGTACTCCTCAAGTGAAAGGCAATCTCTACAGAACATCATTCCTTTGTTTTTTTCCTGGAGATGAGGTCTCGCTATGTTGCCCAGGCTGGAGTGCAGTTATTCACAGGTGCAACCATAGGGCACTACAGCCTTAAACTCCTGGGCTCGGCGATCCTCCTGCCTCAGCCTCCCAAGCAGTTGTGACTACTGCATGCACCACCATGCCTGACTCAGAACATTACTTTTAAAGGTATTAACCAGGAAACAGATAAGGTCACTCATAAAACACACGGCTTTTTTCTTGAGCTCAGTGTTAACAATGAAAATAGATTCCACTATTGAAGCACAAGTTACAAACTGGTAACACAGTGAACATACTGCTGTAGGAAGAGGGGTTTAGTCAGGTGTGTTATGTGAGCACTTGAACTTTTCAGGGTGTCGTCATAAGCCAGTTATCTGCCACAAAGAATTTCAATTTCAGGATTCAAGTTTCCTTGGAGGAAGTCACCGTTGATATTTGTGGTCATGAACTTTTGAGTGGCAACAGCCCCAACAGGTCAAGTGTCTTTAAGCTCCAAACAACAGGCAGCATTACTGTGAATTACCATTAAACTCAAATGCCAGGTGACGTGTGTCTCCAAGTTCCAGCATCACAATATAATCTCTATAACTTTCTGTACAACTTTAAAATGGAATTGTCTATTTCAGTGATTATTTTGACATCAGATTAACTTTCCAAAAAGTTACACATAATTTGGGTCTGTTTTTTCTACCAGTAAGAATTCCGCTAAATTACAAAACCCCATAATCACAGTGTTCAGTTTAAAAAAAAAATTTAACACACAGTAATCCTGTCAAATGTTAATCAAAATCAAAACTTCAGAATGCCGTGGCATTTATGTGACCAATCTGAGTTTTAGATACAAATACCAGCTGTTTATCCCATGAACCATTTTTGCTAGGCTGAGGCTGAAAAATCGAAAGTCGACGTACAATTTTTAAAAAATTTTATGTATTTATTTATTTTATTGCACAAGGAATATGTGTGGAGGGTACAGAGTGACACTGAACAGATCACGAAGCATGAGAAACATTAGTTCTCTCCCTCCCCAGCGTCTCCTTCGTCTCCCTGGTTTTCCAATGTCCGCAGAGTGAGATTGTCCCTAAGTAACTGCATGATCAGAGTGCTGTCTTTATGAGACTCTTCATTCAGTGTATCCAATTCGGCAATTGCTTCATCAGATGCCGTTTTTGCCAGGCTGCAGGCCTTTTCAGGAGAGTTGAGAATCTCATAGTAAAAGACTGAGAAATTAAGTGCCAGACCAAGTCGAATTGGGTGTGTAGGCTGCATTTCTTTCTTCCTAATTTCAAATGCTTCCTGGTAAGCCTGCTGGGAATTCGGCACAGTGGTTTGTTTGTTGTCTCCACATGCCACTTCAGAAAGATACCTGAAATAATCTCCTTTTATTTTCTTTTTTTTTTGGAGACGGAGTTTTCACTGTTGTTACCCAGACTGGAGTGCAATGGCACGATCTTGGCTCACCGCAACCTCCGCCTTCTGGGTTCAAGCAATTCTCCTGCCTCACCCTCCCGAGTAGCTGGGATTACAGGCACACGCCACCATGCCCAGCTAACTTTTGTATTTTTAGTAGAGACAGGGTTTCACCTCGTTGACCAGGATGGTCTCGATCTCTTGACCTGGTGATCCACCCGCCTTGGCCCCCCAAAGTGCTGGGATTATAGGCATGAGCCACCGCGTCCGGCCTCTCCTTTCATTTTCAAGTAGAACACCTTACTTTCTGGTTGTGTAGCATTGGGAGTAAGGTATTTGTCCAACAGCTCCAGAACGTCATTGCAGATGTCCTGCAATTCCGCCTCTATCTTCTCACGGTACTCTGCTGCTGCTTCTCATTTCTCTCTGTTTTCTGCTCAATGCTGGAGATGACATGCCAGGAAGAGTGGCGGGCACCTACCACATTCTTGTAGGCAGCAGAGAGCAGCTTTCTCTCTTCCTTGGAGAGTTCATGCCCCTGTTCTGTGTTTGCCTTCATGGCTACAGCCATATCATCATAGCGCTCAGCCTGCTCAGTGAGTTTGGCTTTCTGTACCAGCTCACTTTTATCCATTGTCATTCCTGACTCCAAGTCCAGTGCTCTTCCTTTTTCTCTATCCATGGCCAAATGGGCAAAATGCACTTTTTGTTGTGGCCCAAATCTTTGGAGACTGCCGTAGGAGGGCTGCAAGGGACAAAGACGCTTCTGAGCTAAGCTCAGAGGTGACTGCTTCCTTCCCAAGCCCACTGCTCAGGCGGTGGCGGCGGCACTGCCTGCAGTGGCTGCAGCGGCGGCGGTAGCAGCTACCCGGGCTCTGGAATCCGCGGTGGCGGTGGTGGCAGCTCCCAGGATAGAGAGTTCTGTAGATGTCTATTAGGTCTGCTTGGTCAAGTCCTGGATATCTTTGTTAATTTTCTGTCTCGTCGATCTGTCTAATATCGACATTGGAGTGTTAAATTCTCCCACTATTACTGTGTGGGACTCCAAGTCTCTTTGTAGGTCGTTAAGCACTTGCTTTATGTATCTGGGTGCTCCTGTATTAGGTGTATATATATTTAGGATAGTTAGCTCTTCTTGTTGGATTGATCCTTTTACCATTATGCGCTTGTCTCTTGATCTTTGTTGGTTTAAAGTCCATTTTATCAGAGACTAGGATTGCAACCCTTGCTTTTTTTTTTGCTTTCCATTTGCTTGGTAAATCTTCCTCCATCCCTTTATTTTGAGTCTTTGTATGTCTTTGCACGTGAGATGGGTCTTCTCAATACAGCACACCGATGGGTTTTGACTCTTTATCCAGTTTGCCCGTCTGTGTCTTTGGATTGGGGCATTTAGCCTATTTACATTTAAGGTTAATACTGTTATGTGTGAATTTGATCCTGCCATTTTGATACTAGTTGGTGGTTTTGCCTATTAGTTGATGCAGTTTCTTCATTTTGTTGATGCTCTTTACCATTTGGTATGTTTTTGCAGTGGCTGGTCGTTCCTCTCCATGTTTAGTGCTTCTTTCAGGAGCTCTTGTAAAGCAGGCCTGGTGGTGACAAAATCTCTCAGCAATTTCTTGTCCGTAAAGGATTTTATTTCTCCTTCACTTATGAAGCTTAGTTTGGCTGGATATGAAATTCTGGGTTGAAAGATATTTTCTTTAAGGATGTTGAATTTTTGTCCTGACTCTCTTCTGGTTTCTAGGGTTTCTGCTGAAAGATCCTCTGTGAGTCTGATGGGCTTCCTTTTGTGGGTACCCAACCTTTCTCTCTGGCTTCCCTTAGCATTTTTTCCTTCATTTTAACCCTGGTGAATCTGATGATTATGTGCCTTGGGGTTGCTCTTCTTGAGGAATATCTTTGTGGTGGTCTCTGTATTTTCTGAATTTGAATGTTGGCCTGCCTTGCTGCTACATTAGGAAAGTTCTCCTGGATAATATCCTGAAGAGTGTTTTCCAGCTTGGTTTCATTCTCTCCATCACATTCAGGTATACTGATCAAACATAGATTAGGTGTTTTCACATAATTTCATATTTCTTGGAGGATTTGTTCATTTCTTTTCACTCTTTTTTCTCTAATCTTGCCTTCTTGTTTTATTTCATTGAGTTGATCTTCAGTCTCTCATATCCTTTCTTGTGCTTGATTTATTCGGCTGTGGAAACTTGTGTATGCTTCACGAAGTTCTTGTGCTGTGTTTTTCGACTCCATTAAGTCGCTTATGTTCCTCTCTAAGCTGGTTATTCTAGTTAGCATTTCGTCTAAACTTTTTTCAAAGTTCTTAGTTCCTTTGTATTGGGTTAGAACATGCTCTTTTAGCTCAGAGAAGTTTGTTGTTACCCACCTACTGACGCCTTCTTCTGTCAGTTCATCAAACTCATTCTCCCTCCAGTTTTGTTCCCTTGCTGGTGAGGAGTTTTGATCCCTTGGAGGAGAGGAGGTGAGCTGATTTCTTCCCATCTTCGTGGATTTATCTACCTTTGTAGTTGGTGACTTTCAGATGGGGTCTCTGAGTGGATGTCCTTTCTGTTGATATTTCTTTCTGTTTTTTAGTTTTCCTTCTAACAGACAGGCTCCTCTGCTGCAGGACTGCTGGAGGTCCACTCCAGACCCTGTTGGCCAGGCTGGTCTTGAACTCCTGACCTCGGGTGATCTGCCCGCCTTAGCCTCCCAAAGTGCTGGGATTACAGGCATGAGCCACCATGCCTAGCCAGCATAATTATTTTGAAATTTATTCATCTTCTTATTGTGTTAAGTCATTTCTTTTTTTTGTTGCAGTATTTCCAGAGTATGGATACATCACAAGTTATCATTTACCTGCTGATGGACATGTGGATTATTTCTAGTTTTTCGCTATTAAAGCTGCTATGAACTTTTGTGTATAAGTCTTTGTGTGAACTTGAAAGTCAGTTTTCCTGGCCAGACCCCACTCTCAACTGGGAGAAGGGTCGAATAATTTGGGGACCCAGTGGCCAGGTGCCATGGCTCATGCTTGCAGTTTAAGCACTTTGGGAGGCCAAGGCAGGAGGATTGCTTGAGTCTAGGAGTTTGAGACCAGCCTGGGCTAAATAGGGAGACCCCGTACGTACAAGAAATTAGCCAGGTGCGTGGTGCGTGCCTGTAGTCCCAGCTACCCAGATGGCTGAGGCAAGAGGATCACTTGAGCCCAGTAGTTAAAGGCTGCAGGGAGCTGAGATTTCACCACTGCATTCCAGCCTGGGCGACAGAGCAAGACCCTGTCTGAAAAAGAATAAAACTGTCCCAACTGTTGTAGTTTCACATTTTAAGTATGTCCAGGACAGTGTTAGAGAGGAAAAGCTGGGCACTGCTTTTCTCTAAAATCTCCAATCTGGAGTGTGTTCTAGAGAGCAATTTTTCTCAAGAGGGGTCAGTAAGAAAGAGATGCAGGTAGAGCGTTGCCTTTAGGAGGGCATGATGAGGCTGTGGTTATAGGCCTATTCCCTAAACCCAATACAGCTGTTCACAGCAGTAACCTGGCTCAGTTCTGGACATTTCTGGAAATTGTAAGGAAACCAGGTGACAGGGTGAGCTAATGAGCCAATGCAAAGCTGTCACCACGGCCAGAACAAGCCAGGTTTATGTTCAGCTGATGATAGCCTGGGAGGCCATGTTCACATAGAAAGGCTAACCTACTGTTGTGTGCCTTCTTTTGTGCAGCATAAAGATAGGGAGGTGGTGATGGAGCAGCCCTCTTCTGGAAGTGACTGGTCTGATGTTGAGGAGATCTCCACGGTCAGATTCTCTCAGGAGGAACCTGTCTTGCTGAAACCCTCAGCTGTTCCAGAGCCTTCTCCCTTCACCACTGACTATGTCATGTACCCGCCTCATTTGTACAGTAGTCCTTGGTGTGACTACGCCAGCTACTGGACCAGCAGCCCCAAGCCTTCTAGCTACCCCTCCACAGGGAGTGGCAGCAATGATGCAGCCCAGGTTGGGAGGAGCAGCTGGAGCCGCCTGAGTGATTATTCTCCCAACTCTTCAGGGAGCGCCCAAAACACCTCCAGAGACATGGAGGCCTCAGAGGAAGGCCGGTTCCAGAATTCTCGTTCATTTCGCTTTTCCAGAATCTTAGAAGAAAGAGAGGTGAAGGAGAAAAGAACATTCCAAGAGGAGACGCCACCGCGTCCTTGTGGAGGACATTCATCTAGCTCCTTGCCAAAGAGCCACTGGGAACCAAGCCTAGAGGAGGGCTTCATTGACACCCATTGTCACTTGGACATGCTCTATTCCAAGTTGTCTTTCCAAGGGACCTTTAAAAAGTTCAGAAAAATTTACAGCAGCTCCTTCCCAAAGGAATTTCAGGGTTGTATCTCTGACTTCTGTGACCCTCGCACCTTGACAGATTGCCTATGGGAGGAGCTATTAAAAGAGGATCTGGTGTGGGGGGCCTTTGGTTGTCACCCTCATTTTGCACGTTACTACAGTGAGAGTCAAGAAAGAAATCTTTTGCAAGCCTTAAGGCACCCCAAGGCTGTAGCATTTGGGGAAATGGGCTTGGATTACTCTTACAAGTGCACCACGCCTGTCCCAGAACAGCACAAGGTAACAAGGCTCTCTTTAGTCTGCTTATAGTTTGTTTTTCTTTTAGTTGTTGAAGCTGACAATAAGGGTTTTTCTAATTTTAGAACTAAAGAATTTAAAATCCCTAAAAATGCAGAGTGCTTGCTCTCATCCAGACTGTCTAGATACCATTGGCTGAATGCTTTACAAACTATTTCTTACTGTTTAGCTTTACTATGGAAGTTCGGGGAGAAGTACTTTGTGACTTTTTTTTTTTGAGATGTATGTAGTTTTGCCCTGTCACCTAGGCTATAGTGCAATGGCGTGATCTTGGCTCATTGCAACCTTCGCCTCCTGGGTTCAAGCAGTTCTCTCGCCTCAGCCTCCTGAGGAACTGGGACTACAGGTGCTCGCCACTGTGCCTGGCTAATTTTTGTATTTTTAGTAGAGACGGGATTTCAGCATCTTGGCCAGGCTGGTCTCAAACTCCTAAACTTGTGATCTGTGTGCCTCAGCCTCCCAAAGTGCTGAGATTGCAGGCGTGAGCCACCGCACCAGGCCACTTTGTGACTTTTTGTGGCTAATGATATCGATGTCAAAACATTTGTTTTCTTTCCTTCTTGGGAAGCAACAGACTTTAGGTTTTCTTAATTTATTTTATGTTTTGAGAGGGAGTCTTGCTCTTTTGTCCAGCTTGGAGTATAGTAGGGCAGTCTCAGCTCAATGCAACCTCAGCCTCCCATGGTCAAATATTCTCCTGCCTCAGCCTTCCAAATAGCTGGGATTACAGGCATGTGCCACCACACTCGACTAATTTTTGTATTGGCAGAGATGGGGTTTCACCATGTTGGCCAGGCTGGTCTTGAACTCTTGACCTCAAGGTGATCTGGCTGCCTCACTCTCCCAAAGTGCTCGGATTACAGGCATGAACCACTATGCCCAGCCTGGTTTTCTTTATTTTTTTTTAATGTATCCATTGCAGAATAATTGAAAAAATATTAAAAAACGCATAATTTCTCATTCAACCAAAGATCATGGCTAATACTCTTAGTACTTTTTCTTTCTTTCTTTTTTTTTTTTTTTGAGATAGACTTTCGCTCTTCTTGCCCAGGCTGGAGTACAATGGTGAAATCTTGGCTCACCACAACTTCCGTCTCCCAGGTTCAAGTGATTCTCCTGCCTCAGCCTCCTGAGTAGCTGGGATTACACGCATGCATCACCAAGCCCAGCTAATTTTGTATTTTTAGTAGAGACGGGGTTTCTCCATGTTGGTCAGGTTGGTCATGATTTGCCAGCCTCAGGTGATCTGCCTGCCTCATCCTCCCAAAGTGCTGGGATTATAGGTGTGAGCCACTGAGCCTGGCAAATATAATTTTTTTTTTCTTTCTGTTTTTGGAGACAGAGTCTCGTTCTGTTACCACTGGCTTGAGTACAGTGGTGTGATCTTGGCTCACTGCAGCCTCGGCCTCCTGGGCTCAAGTGATTCTCCTACCTCAGCCTTTCAAGTAGCTGGGACTGCAGGTGTGTGGCACCTTGCCTGGCTAATTTTTATATTTTTAGTAGAGGTGGGGTTTTACCATATTCACTTGACTGGTCTCGAACTCCTGACCTCAACTGATCCCCTTGCCTTGGCTTTTGAAAGTGCTGGGATTACAGGTGTGAGCCACTGTGCCTGGCCTCTGCTGATATTTTTCCCTTCAGTAGTTTTCGAGCACAGTGCTTTGGCAGCATAAGAGTTCTAGTATTTTAGAATTTTTTTTCCCCAGAGATAATGTCTTTGCCACTCATGCTGGAATTCAGTGGTGCAGTCATAGCTTACTGCAGCCTCAACCTGGGCTCAAACGAATGATCCTTCCACCTCAGTCTCCTAAACAGCTGGGACTGCAGGTGCATACCACCATGCCTAGCTAATTAAAAAAAAATTTTTTTTAAGTTGGAATCTTACTGTGTCACCCAGGCTGGAGGGCAGTGGTGCAATCTCAGCTCACTGCAACCGCCGCTTCCTGGGTTCAAGTGATTCTCCTGGCTCAGCCTCTTGAGTCACTGGATTACAGGTGCCAGCCACCACACCCAGCTAAAATTTTTTTTTTTTTTTTTTTGAGACATAGTGTCCCAGGCTGGAGTGCAATGGCATGATCTTGGCTTACTGTAGCCTCCATTTCCAGGGTTCAGGTGATTCTCTTGCTTCAGCCTCCCGAGTAGCTGAGATTAGAAATTCCCACCACCATACCAAGCCAATTTTTTGTATTTACAGGATCAAACCTATAATCCCAGCACTTTGAGAGGCCAAGATGGGGTGATCGCTTGAGGGCAGAAGTTTGAGACCAGTCTGGCCAACATGGCGAAACCCCATTTCTACTAAAAATACAAAAATTGGCTGGTGGGTCACACCTGTAATTAGCCAGTGGCTCATGCTTGTAATCCCAGTACTTTGGGACACCAAGGCGGGCGGATCACCTAAAGCCAGAAGTTGGAGACCAGCCTGGCAATATGGCGAAACCCTGTCTCTAAAAAAAAAAAAAAAAAAAAATAGCTGGCTATGATGACACATGCCTAAGTTCCCAGCTACTCAGGAGGCTGAGGTAGGAGGATTGCTTGAGCCTGGGAGATTGAGGCTGCAGTGAACTATGATCATGCTGCAGCCTGGGTGACAGAGTGAGACCCTGTCTCAAAACAAAATTAACAGGATCTCAGATCTGCATTTAAAGGTCCACAGAGCACCCTGCACAACAAACTGAACTAGAAGTGATAGCATAGGGTGATAAATACAGTCTCACAGGTGTCATTTGGCTTGGTGAGGTGCAACTCAAGACTGGAAGATAATGAGCCTGAGGAAATGCTGGCTGGGGGAGGGCTAAGTTGCCTGTAAAGAAGAGGAAGACTAGAAAATAATTGTCAACACAAGAGACTCCTAGGCTGGGTGGGGTATGTGGATATACTGTTTTGATGTAAATAATTTGGCACCCAAATGAGGTGAATGGTGGTGACTGGCAACTGTACCTAGTTGGCCATCAGTACTGAGTTGCACTTACTAAGAGCACAGCCATTAGCAAGTTCTTGATGTGTCCTGCTGAGTGTTTTATCTTGTGAAGAGAACAACAACCTATACAGGG